TATAGTACTATCAGTCCGGTGATGATTGAGGAGTGTGTTTGCACGGAGAATTGGTTAGTATTCGTCAACTGTGTTGTCAAACAGTATAATGGTATTTCGAGTCTGACAGTCGATCAATTCATATTTACATGAGATATTTATAAGTGATTTATCATTGAATAGTTTAATAATAACATTTCCAACTGTTAAGTTGGGTGATGCTGGTTCCAATCTCATGATTTCTCTTTATCTCACTACTCCAAAGATTGTAGGCAAACCTTGGTAACAAGTTCTAACTAGAATAAAGCTTAGTTCGAGTATAGATACCTATCAACTAACTCCAATTACATCACATCTCAATATATTAACAATGCAATTAAATGGATGACCACATTGAGACTTGATCGATAGAGTTTTAACAAAATCACTGAAGAACTTGACAGGTGTAATAGTGATCACTAAAGAGCGATCAGTCAACTGAAATTTTCATAGTTGTTTATGGAAATTACTCAAAATGATTAACTATGTAGTTAAAGAAAAACGAAAACGGTGATTTATAATAATCGAAGTCATTATGGGTATTAATTACGCTGCCCTCCTTCTTTGGATCACAAAATTAATCATTCAAAGTTATTTTCATTATCACTAAAATGTGTATTACTTACTTACTTACGCCTGTCACCCCTCGTCGAGGAGCACAGGTCAACCACCAACATTCTTTATTCAATTCTATCCTCGATAATCCTTTCCACTTGTTCCCAATTAATATTCATTCTTTTCATGTTTGCTTACAATTCTTAACTCACTATGATCTTTGGCCTTCTACTTTTCCGCATCTATTCAGGATTCCAAGTTACGGCTTGTCTCGTGACACAGTTTGATGATTTCTGTTATGTGTGTCCAATCCACTTCCAACATGTTTTCTTAATTTTCTCTTCAGATGGAACCTGGTTTGTTTTCTCACACAGTAGGTTGTTGCTGATGTTATCCGATCAACGGACATTGAGTATATTACGTAGACAATTGTTGATAAATACCTGTACGTGTTTGATGATGGTTGTGGTGGTTGTCGAAGTTTCAGCTCTATACAGTAAAACTACCTATTTTGACGTTCGTATTGGAAATTAGGATTCTGATATTGGTTGACAAACAACCAGACAATCAGACAACTAACTGATAATCAAATCTAATAAGTTTATCATTCATGGTATAACTTCAGATCGTATGTAAATTTATCATATTTTTGTACGATAAAGCTGTTTCGACAAAAGCTGTGTTCTGATTGGTTAATGTTTGATTGAATCGATTCAGGCTAATTTAAAAAATGTTGATTTGTACCCCAAAATTACTTCATGTTATTAAAGATTAACTGTAGAATTACACTTCACTTATTTAAGGAGAATATGTTGTTAGAAGGGGGTTCTGTGGAGATTTTAGTAGTTTTATGTAGTTGAGATCATGAATCAATTGAAGCTAGACCACCATGGAAAACCTGGAAGCACTGAAAGGCCAGTGGAATCCAACCAGGTCTATTGGGAGATATCAACTCACTGAAAACAATGGTGGACGGTTGCTCAATATCGTGGATTGGTTGAGGTTAGACATTAACACCGTTGGATACCGGCTCAGTGGTCTAGTGGTTTAACGTTCCCGCGTGAGACTGATAGATCCTGGATTCGAGTCTCGCGAGGCGCGATCGTGGATGCACACTGCTGAGGAGTCCCACAATAGGATGGAACGGTCGTCCAATGCTTCCAGGTTTTCCATGATGGTCTAGCTTCAATTGACTCATGATCTCAACTATACTAGATGTTGTACACAGAAGAAACTCGGAGAATTCATCTTCCATTACTTTGGTTAGTAATTGATGTACACTGTTGAGAAGTTGCAAACTACACTAATCAGTAAGTTATATTTCCAATAATCCTTTATTTAACAATGATGGACATCATCTTCGAAATCATGAATAAACGTATTCGATTTTTAATGAACGTGAGTGACCGTAAAATGGTTCCGTAAAATTTGTCCTAGTTATAAATCAATCCAAATTCAGATTACTGATAGACTAGGTAAGTCCAGACATATCACATGAATTCACTGTCAAGATCAAACGTCAGGCGATAGATTACAAAATATATCACTATATCAGATGAAGTTGAATATGTACCTCGTCGAAGCCTTAGCCTATGTATCCGTGTTTACGTCAGAAGTACAACTGTATATGTGTCAATAATTTACGTACACTTTATTCAGTTTATCAATTAAAGCTTTCCAATCATACTAGCGTTACTGGATTGACGAGGAATCAGAAAGCATATGTATCTGTGTCCAAACTGAACGATTGGACAATTTAGCAATCACACGTATAAATAATCCATCATAGAAAACTGAAGTATTCCAAAAGATGAATATTGGTTTTCTGTTACTATGAAGTTGTAATGTATGCACTGAGAGAATTTCGAGAGATTGCATAAACAACTTTGGACGTCATCTGAATCACGTCAATTAAGTCCCCCGTGTAATTACTATTTGAAATACAACTTGTATTAAGAACAGGTATTCCTTTCATCTTACTCTTTACTCTATGTCAACAACAGATATCTGTCATCCTATTTTGAATTTCACTGAACAATCCAGAGACTACTATCTTGAATCTAATTGATTTATGAATAAAGAATATGTTTTGTCTTTATGCCCGATTAATTATATCACTTGATACGACCACTAATTAGAGACACCGACTTATACGAGTAGACTAATAATACATAAACTTGTTGTTGTATCCCGTGGAGAATTATGAATGGTACCTTTTGAGGACTATGTATGGACCAATATGATACGTATATTTTCTATTGTATAACTGTTAAGTAACTATATTCTTGTCCCTCTTATTCTAAGCTTTATTTTGACCTAAGCACTATTATTATACGATTTACCGTTCATGAGTTATTCTCAGTCTATTAATTACTGTTACCCCTATTCACAGCCACATTTGACCAAATCTTGTACACATGCTGTTTTCTATTCTATGGTACGATGTTGGCCAGTTTGCTTGGTATATAAAACCCAATATGTTTGAGAATAATGATTCGTATTGCACAAGGTGTTATTGGTGTTCTGGCCTTAACCGGCTGGACTAGGCAGAAAGCAGGACTGATAAATACTCAAGACTGCTTGTACGGCTTTTATGTATCATTGGGCGATCAATAAATTCACTGCCCTCCAATTGGCAGTTTTATCACTTATATATATCAACTGGGGCAAGAACGCACTCACTTGATATAACACCTATACGAGTAGCCTAGAGTTCATATTGGTCCTCTGAAATAGTAGCTTCTCTCCTAACCCAACCAGTTGAGTCCAGAACGCCAGTATCAGCGTCCACGATGCGAATCATATTATTTCAAACATATACACATAAATACAAACACAATACAGTTTTTTCTTTAAATTGTGCAATATTTCATGTACGTTTTCAAACTATTAAAATGTACCATTTTAGCCGAAAGATGCATTACACATGATGTGGAAAGGAAATTAAGAAAAGACGTTGGAGAAGTGGATTGAATCTACATTGAGGAAATCGCCAAACTGCATCATGAGGCAAGCTCTAACTTGGAATCTTGAAGGGAATCGGAAAAGAGAAAGGCCAAAGAACACATTACGTCGAGAAATGGAGACATATATGAGAATAATGAATAACAACTAGAAAGAACTGGAAAAGATTGCCCATGACAGAGTTGGATGAAGAATGCTGGTGGGTGGCCTATGCTCCTCCACGACGAGTAACAAATGTAACTAAATAATGGTGTAATCATGAGAAAGTAGAGAAAGTAGAAAAAGAAAACTCTTACTTCAATTAACTACAGGAAGTTATTTGAATGAGTTGTTGTTTTGTTCACGTTACCTATTTCAATAGTATTCAAAGTAACCATAAAGTTATGAATAATTATGTAGTAATTATGCATATGTACTAATGCATAAACATAAGTGAATAAACAGAACAACAAACAGTATAACCAAAGGTAATTACATGACATTACAGATCGACATATCAGGTTATATGTGCATCCGTGTGTAGTAAAGTACATACAATTATGTATATGTATGGATACGTTATTTTCACCATTGATATAATAGATCAGAAGGAGTTTTGTGGAGATTTCAGTATTATCATAGTTCAAATCATGAGTCAATTGAAGCTAGACCACCATGGAAAACCTGGAAACACTGGACAGCCGTTTCATCATATTAAGGGACTCCTCAGTAGCGTGCATCCACGCGAGATTCGAAACCAGGGCTATTGGTATCGCGCGCGAACACTTAACCTCCAGAACATTGAGCAGTCATCCAATGGAGTTAATGCCTAACGTCAATCAATTCACGATATTGGGCGACCGTTTACCATTGTCTTCAATGAGTAACCGCCTGAGAACACATACGAATGAACTCCACTAGTCACTGCTTCTCGCTAGAACTGCAGGAAATCTACCTTGAAGCCAGTCATTAGTGAGTAAATGATATTTATCAGTATAGAGTTGTGAAGATTGTTGAGTTTAAATTGATAACATGAATGGATCAACGTTAAACAACCATTGAAAACCTGAAATCGCTAGACAGCCGTTTGGTCCTAGAATGGGAATCCTCAGAAATAGTCACTTGACGACTGTTATTACATGGTGTGAAAATTATCGAGTTCCAAGTTGCATGAGTGTTTCACTTATAGAATATATAACAAGAAATGTAAACCGCTGAGTTTCCTCTCAGTCGTCTGAAATCAACTGCTCATTGGGAAACCAGAAGGTCCTGCGTTGTGAACACTGAATGAAAATGAAGTCCCATACTTAAATGAAACAAAGATCCAATACTTTTCAGATTTCCATCAGTTGTCTAACTAAAATCGATCTTTTATGTAAAGTTCAACAATCAACAAAACACTTTATAATCATATGATTAATATAATACCACAAATCTAGACGGCATTTTTAAAGCTAAAAGTCATCTAGCATATGATTACTGCACTAATATATATATATAGAAATTGAAAGGAAGTGAATGGTTAAAATAATGAATACTTCCATTATCATTACACATAAACATGTAAACACATATGATGATGATGATGATGATGATGATGATGATGATGATGATGATGATGATGATGATGATGATGATGATGATGATGATGATGATGATGATGATGATGATGATGATGATGATGATGATGATGATGATGATGATGATGATGATGATGATGATGATGATGATGATGATGATGATGATGATGATGATGATGATGATGATGATGATGATGATGATGATGATGATGATGATGATGATGATGATGATGATGATGATGATGATGATGATGATGATGATGATGATGATGATGATGATGATGATGATGATGATGATGATGATGATGATGATGATGATGATGATGATGATGATGATGATGATGATGATGATGATGATGATGATGATGATGATGATGATGATGATGATGATGATGATGATGATGATGATGATGATGATGATGATGATGATGATGATGATGATGATGATGATGATGATGATGATGATGATGATGATGATGATGATGATGATGATGATGATGATGATGATGATGATGATGATGATGATGATGATGATGATGATGATGATGATGATGATGATGATGATGATGATGATGATGATGATGATGATGATGATGATGATGATGATGATGATGATGATGATGATGATGATGATGATGATGATGATGATGATGATGATGATGATGATGATGATGATGATGATGATGATGATGATGATGATGATGATGATGATGATGATGATGATGATGATGATGATGATGATGATGATGATGATGATGATGATGATGATGATGATGATGATGATGATGATGATGATGATGATGATGATGATGATGATGATGATGATGATGATGATGATGATGATGATGATGATGATGATGATGATGATGATGATGATGATGATGATGATGATGATGATGATGATGATGATGATGATGATGATGATGATGATGATGATGATGATGATGATGATGTAAAGGGCATATGATACAAATTATCAAATAAAGTATTCAATGGATTTCGCACTAAAGTACATATTGATTGTTTCCCCCTTCCAACCACCACTCATTTTTGTTATTGTCCATAACATTGTGAATACTGTAAAAAAAATTAAAAAATAATTTCTTTCATTCGGTATTCAAATAACAATATATTATTACTATACTAATATAATTTAATAGTACATATGCATAATCTTTTGCATAATTACTCGTAAATATACACCTACATTCATTCATTAAATGGATACAATAGTTACTATGATGTTATAGATTAATTAATGCAACATTCTACTTCCTTTCACTGTTGTTTTATAAATATCAAAGGTAATATAAATAGTAGTATAAATGATGAAATAACTTAAATATATTATAATTAGTAAAAAGATATTTTAACACTTGAATTCATGAGTCAATCTAAGCTAAACCTACCACGCGGGTGGAGACCGCTATCCACTTCAGACAATGGATGAAAAGCTGCACAAGATCATGGATCGATTGAAGTTAGACATTAACAGAACTAAATGCCATCACATTGATCTAGAGATTAAGTGATCGCGCGCAAGATCAAAGATTCTATGTTTGAGTTCCGCGTACAAGATTATGGATGCACCCTTCTTAGGAGTCCCATACTAGGATGAGAAAGCTATACAGTGATCTCAGTTTTCCAATGGCTGTCTAGCTTAGATGGACTCGTGGATTCAACTGTTAGTGATATTTATTATTAAAAGTGATATTACCACTGGTCAATTATAATTTGTTCATATTTTTTTGAGTGATAAACTTTGTAGAAAACTTTGAATTAGTAAATTAAAATTGTTACCATATTGAAAATAGTAGACATAAATGTCTAGATAATACACAAAAACTAAGATTAATCCTCATTTAAGCTTCTCTGATTTTAGTACTGTTGAGAAAGTGGAAAATGGGACTGGAAGAGCGTCGAAGCAAGAGTCATGGCAAACTTTGGTGTCATTTTATCGATTATTATAACCTTCACTTTATTACGCAAACCGAAAATATCAGCGCAACATTAGGCAAGACTTGATGAATGTAAGGGTGACTGTTATAAATGGACGTACATTATTTCTCTTCAGCACTTTGATCCTAATGCTTTTGACTCAAAAAAAAAACAAAAAAAAGACAAACCGCGGACTATGACTGTGAAGAATTGAGTGAAGAATTGTTTTATCCCAATAAGTAGAAAAATTATATTTCTAATGTATCGTAACTTAATTTAAGCCACTTCTTCAGAGTAAACAAAAGAACCAAAGTTAAATTACCACAAGTCTAACTTTACTTCGGTTATTCATTTATCCTGAAGAAGTGGCTTAAATTAAGTTACGAAACATTAGAAATACAATTTTTCTACTTAATGGGATATAACAAAAATGTATTTATTATTAACTCTCTATCGATAAAATTCATATTTAGTAATCAGAAGGGATTTTGTGGAGATTTCACTATTCTCATAGTTGAAAGCGTGGATCAATTGAAGCTAGACCACCAAGAAAAACCTGGAAGCACTGGACGGCCATTTCGTCCCATTGTGGGACTCCTCAGTGGCAGTGCACATCCACGATCCCACCTCGCAAGATCCGAACCCAGGACCCACCAATCTCACTTAACCAACAGACCACTGAGCTTTCAACTATGAAAATGCTAAATCTCCACAAAACCCCTTCTGATTATAATCATATACTCCCTAGTGACTGACTTCGATAGGTATATCCTGGAGTTCTATTGGGAAGCAGCGACCAATGGAGTTCAAACCACGTCTGTTGTGAGATAGGAACTCACTTAAGACAGTTGGTGAACGGTTGCTCAACTTCGAGGATTGGTTGACGTTAGACATAAACACCGTCGGATGCTGGCTCAGTGGTCTATCGTTTAAGTGCTCTGGCACAAAACTGGTAGGTCCTGGGCTCGAATCTCGCGAGGCGAGGTCGTGGATGCGCAATGCTGAGGAGTTCCATAATAGGACGGAACGGCCGTTCATACTTAGTAAACAAACTAAAGTGTAAATAAAATCTCTGGCTTTCTAAAGGATTACAAAAGTCAATCAAAAGATCAATCTAGAAGTATCTAATCAACTCTAACCATTCCACTTCATCAAAAGCCTCCTTTTATAACTATACATACAGTCAGAAGAGTTGGTTTAATAAGAATACAAATGAAAAACTTATGTACATCAGTGGATATTGTTATCCACTAGTTTAAGCCTAACCCTTGCATACAAAAACAGTATATTCAATCCTTCATTCTTTCATGACCCTAACCTCTCTATCTTATTTTTGTACAGTGTCGTGTTTACATCTCACTCCTACAAGAGGTCGGTTGCGGCCCGAATAGCTCGATGGTAACGTCTCTGACTGTGAAGCTGAGGGATACGGGATCGAATCCGTCATTGAGCACCAGTTCCCTTCAAGATTACAGGCACACCTTGCTGACGAGTGCCAAGTAGCATGAAACTCGAGTCCAGGGTTTCCTGTTGACCATCTCCAACCACCATCTTGTTTGTACAGTGTTCTCTGAATTTGATGGTTGGACTGAAGAGCTTTGATTGTTATTCTGAACAATATCAATGATGTCCACTTCATATAATTTCAAATAGTATTTGTGTAAGTTACAGTTGAGATTTAAGATTAGGTTTATCGATGTTAGTTAATTGAATGTATCCAATTACTTCTAATCATTCAATATCCTTATAAGATGTATTCAGTGTTATGTCATTTAGACTAATGGCCATATTTTTCAACATACTACTCATAAGGAGGTTTTTTATATATAGTTGAGATCATGAGTCGATTAAAGCTAGACCACCATAGAAAACCTGGAAGCACTGGACGGCCGTTTCGTCCTATTGTGGGACTCCTCACCAGTGCTTCCAGGTCTAGCTTCAATCGACTGATGATTTTAACTATATATTTTAAAAGAATGCTACTCATAGTTTAAAGAATTTCAGAATGAATTATTCTTTCAGTGGAAGTTTCATATTAAGCTCAACCATCCATTTGGCAGTGTTTAATAAAAGTTCAGTATTCATTAATTTCTCAATAGTTTTCTAGTCATTTACTGAATAAGTCTACATATCTTGATGGAGTTCTCTTCTCTGATCTAGATGGTTCGGTCTTGGTGCTTCCATCGTCCTTCTGAACGACATCATTAGCATAGACTTCGGGTAGAATGTAATTTCCATGGAAGATTTCATTTAAAGCTCTAACATCCATTGTGTTTGTGTTTTTCATCCGATATGATGGAATATGCTACATTGACTTAACCATAACAGATAGATCTAAATAGAGATGTTTCAAATGAGATATTCAGTGAAAATTATACTCATATGTCCGTTGACCGGATACTATCATTCACGACATACTGTGAAAGAGAACAAACCAATTTCTAGTTGAAGAGGAAATCGGGAAAATATGTTCAATGTGAATGGGATATACATCGCGGAAATCACTAAACTGCATTACAAAGCAAGTGCTAACTTGGAATCCTGAAAGAGAACGGTAAATTGGAAGACCAAAGAACACACTGTGTCGGGGATCAGAAGCAGACATGAAAAGAATGAATAGTAAATGGAAACAAGTGGAAAAGATTGTCCAAGATAAATTTGGATGAAAAATATTGGTGGGTGGTCGATGCTCCTGGACAAGTAGTAACAGCATAAGTAAGTGAGTGAGTATTACCTATCCATTATTAAATTATAATAAAATATTCAATATTGTTGTGTATGCTACTTATATCGGATGTAGATGACCTGGAAGATCAGAACACCAACGGACTCAACATTGTGACAGACGCCGTTGCATACACTGTAACAAGAAAGAAAGTGAGACAGTGATCAGAAGAACTGTAAGAGTGACCGTTTCAAATGAGGGACAAGTATGATGTATCCTACTTATATCTATCAACATAAGTAGTATGTAACAGTAATCAGAATTAGAATGTCTATCAAAGGAAGAACTGGATAAATCATGAAAGATGTAAACAAAGAACAATTGATATAAGATTTGTGTTATATCTAGAGCTTTGATTCTTGCTATGCCACGTACTAATACACAACTTGAACAATCGAACCCGCAATGTCGCAAGAGAGAAGACAGAAGACTAGTAAGTAGGAATTTATTCCCCAAAACAGTGTCAAATATAGTACAAAAATCTCATTTATTTATAGTTTTTTGGCTGAAAGTAAATCACCATTTCGAAACCCAATAAGCACATAGGGGGTCATTCTTATTCATCCAACAGGGAAGCTACACGTCGACATTCCAGAATGTTCCCCTAGTGATGATTGGATGGAATGTCTTTGGCTCTTTCTGGGCTTCTTGAGGCTTCCTTGAATTTGCCAACGAGTCATTCTTACAATTTGAAGATGAAGTATTCAATGTATAGTTTTCATATGCTACCAAGAAACTCTGTACTTTCCTATTAAACATTAAATTGGTTATCCTCATCTGAATCCCTGTTCATAACATTCAAATAAGGAGACGCCATAATTTTTTTCTGTATAAAATTTTCTCTTCTTTTTTGTTTTTTTGTTTTCTCGAAAAGGATAGAAACTAACACATGGAAACTCATCTTAAATGAAAGATCCCCTAAAAATGATAATAAATAAACATTTATAGTCAAACTAATCTTTTTTATCCAAGAAAAAAACAAACAAAAATCTAGAAAACAACTGAAAATTGTGAAATATATTTTTTTGGTGTTTTTGGGGGGGTAAGGTTGGGGGTGGAAATATTTCCCTGAAAATTACACTTGATTCTCTTGGATGAACTAATCATTTTCACATCATCTATCCATCTGTTTATTCATTCACTTTTTTTCATACGTTGGAGACTAGTTGTTACTGAAGGAACCAAGAAGAAAGAGAGCGAGCGAGGGAGAAAAAAAAACATTATTTTTAGTAAACATTCTCTCTTTTTTTTAATTTTTTTTTCATTTTCCAGGTTTTTTTTTGTAATTTAAAACAAAACT